TGGGAGGGGTGGGTGTTTTGCGGGGCTGCAGGAATGGAAGGTGATCCGATCAGGCCGCAAAGAGGACCGCGAAGTAAATAGCAGGTTTATAATAAAGAGTGACAAACATATCCTCTTAAGCATGGGAGCTCCTGTCTCAATAAATTTTTCTTTACGTGCAAAATATGGCTCGGGACTAACCAATTACCCTTCATTTATTTTATCGGTCCCTCCTTGTTATCACAACATGGAGATTTTTTCTTGATCCTGCGAGCCCTGTCTTTCCTCTCGCTCCTCTCTGTTCCTGTCCGTGCTGGTCCCGTGCATTTTGATGTAAACAACCGCCCTTGACCACCTGCCCTAAACATTCCGTCCTGTCCTCCTCTTCTTCTTGTGGTGTCCGTCCTTGTCGGCGCTTCAGCATTTCAACGTGACTCCTACCCAGGCGGATGCCATGGTGCAGGAGGCGGACCGTGACAATGACAGCCGCATCAGCCACCAGGTGCGAACACGCGCGCACCGCATGATGGGCACATGGTTTTCTAATTGAACAAAAATACATGTTCACATGCTCGCCGCATGGGCAGCCTGTTGCCACAGTTGGGGGATCCATCGATGCACCCTCTGATATGCTGTTGCATCCGTACCTCGGTACCAATAATACATCTCTCGCCATTTCCGCCACACCATCCCCAGGAATATATTGACATTACCATGGCCTCAGCCTGATTGGCGGGCAGGAGGAGATGATGGCAATCTTCACACGCATTTTACTGATTGTTTCCCATTTTGAGTTGGCGTATATAGGTGGATCACAAAAAGCGTGTTCTTTGCTCCAGCCATGGCGTCATGATGCATGCTAGAGCAGAGCAGTAATGCCAAGGAGTTTCGTGCCACCTGGCTGTGTTTCTGCGGTGTTCTGTTCGGAGTCATGTATAAGCTTTGTTTGTACCATAAATTCTTGTACATGTATCTGCTGCTTGTGGCTTTACTGTAGTATGCGGTTGTTAGTTGCATGCTAAAACGCCAGCTTGGTCTCGGTGCTTTAAATGGTTTCGGTGCTGCATCCTAATTCAGTACGGGAAACTCCTAGCTTGCTTTCCTGGGGAAATTGTCCCACAGTGCGAATTTCTTGTTGGATTAGAGGCCCCTCCCTTAAGCTCCTGCCATTTATGCAGTAGCGAGTAGTGAGTAGTGTTGCCACCTACAGAAAGTGTAACATCGTCAAATTTGGGAGATGCCAAGCCGGTGGTTACAACTATATCATAGAAGGAGACTTGGTGACTTCCCAAGCGTCTGCAAGGCTTTAGGAAAGGCAGCCTGTCAAGTCTCCACCTTGGCGACTGGGAGAAAAACATGCGTCTTTTCATAGAATTAGGATTATTCCTGTGTAACCCTTATAATCAGGGAACTTAAATATACCAAGCAAAATAAGAGAAACCAACCAGCCATTCAGCCACACACATTTCGACGTACCTTGTGGATGTCACCTATGGTCGAAGTCATAGCAGGCAGGTCGTCCGTTTTGTTGCTAACAGGCTTCGGGGCGTCACTGGTAAGCGGTGTCATGCGGGTCTGCTGGTCGTGCTGCAGCTCCATGGCCTCGACATCGTCGGCCGCCCCGGAGACGAAGTCGTTAAAGGATGGCATGTAGTGCAGCCCGGTGTGACCACGAACGGCCGAAGAGAGCATGTCGGTGAGGCCCATCGTTACCCGGTGATGATTGAAGTGCCTGCGAGTCGCGTTTGCCGAGGGGTTCTGGAACAAGTGAGTTGCGAGCGTTCTGTCGTCCGCTGCGGCTGGCGCCTTGGCACCATGCGACAGACGAATTACTTAAAGCTTAAATACGACGTATGCAGAAATGTCTCAAATTTCGGATAGCGGTACCCAACGGCCCTCAGCCATCGACACTTAGGGCCGTTCCGGCGCACCTTGCAACTTGTCGACACTAGGCTGGGAAGGCAATTGGACTCGCCTCTTTGGGAGATACTTATGTCAGAGTAAACAGGTTTTGGAATGAAGCCAAGAGGGCAGCTCGTCGATTTCATTTCTCCGCGCATTGGGCCCTGCTGCGTCAGCCGGGGGGCAGCGGTTAAGCGCTGTCCTGCAAACTTTTCCACGTATGCAAGTACAGATTCTTTAAGCGCATTATGTTTTTTTTGTAATTATAATAACTTAAACCCCACTCTTACAATGAAAACAAGATGCAACGACAACTTGGAACCGTCTTATGTAAAGCAAGAAGGCTTCCAAAACCAAGAGTAACCAACCAGAGGTTGCTTAACTTGCATGGAAAAAATAATTCTAGGGATACCAATACTTAACAAGACTGCTGGCTGCATGAGGGACCCAAGGGTCGCACGCAACGCTGTATCTTCACCCGGCGGAACGCACTCATCTTTTTGGTAACATAAGTGGTTATCCACCGTAAATTCTCCTGATAATGACACTCGTCGCCTTGGCTGAAGGACGAGGACGACGGCTAGAAATGGAAGATCCTTGTGTAGTGCATTTAGTGACACAACACGGCGCTGTTTGTAGGATAACAAACAAAATATGGCATTTTTAATATTATGTGAGGTTTGGGGGTTGTTGTGATGTTGAGTAACTCAACTTGAGTTGTTGACCATGAAGCTAACCGTAAGGCGGTTAAATCGGTTCGTTGCTGAGATGAAGTGATAATGGCTTTTGCCAAAGGCTTAGGGTACGAGGCAACTGTAGAACTCTGGCCTTAGCAGCTGTTTTGAAGTGGGTTGCAGAGCTTAAAAGGGTTGGTTCAGCAAGTCACGCAGCCGGACGGGCAAAGATCCCAATTTCACAAGGCTAGAAGTTACAGAGAGCTAATAATTTAATACCTACAAATTATATTGAAGGCTTGCCTTAAGGACTGCTCGTGCGTGCGACGGAGCTGAATTGAGGCTTGCACGCCTTTATATCGCTGGTGCGCAGAAATGTCTCCACAATAATAACATAATAATCTACATTTATAATATAGATTAGTATCCAATCTCAATCTTGTGGTTGTAAGGCGACCTGCGCTATGCTTGAGCAATTCTCGGCCAGCCACAAGACCGGAAATACGTCCAGACACCGCGGGGTCTTTAGCCCCAGAATAATCATCATTGCTGACAAACCCAATATTTGAACAGCATTATCCGTTCGCTGGCCTCAACTTGACCCGCCGACCCCCGCCCTTTTTGCTTTCATGGCCACATCCGCCTCCGCCAATTCTGCTGCTGGTGCGCCTACCAGTACCATCATGCCGGCTGCAGCCCGCCGACCCTCCCACAGCAATAGCGGCGTCTCCCGAGCCGCTTCGCGGCAGCCGCTTGCCGTCCGCGCCTCCGCAAATGCCGTGCCGCACTCCGTACCCAGCCCCGTCCTCGTCCCCCCTAACCTACAAGGCCGTGCTCTTCCTCCTTCCACTCCGCCGCTGTCGGCCTCTTCCGGAGGCTCCGTACGCCACGTGCTACATGGTTACCGCGCCAGCAGCGGTCCCCGCCACGCCCATCGTCGGGTGGCGCCCGCTGCCGGACCGCCGTCAGCCGCCACCACGCTACTCATGACGCATCCCGCCGCCGCCGGTTTCAGCAGCACGGGCAGTTACGCGAGCAGCGTGGACGAGCAGGACGAGCAGCCGTACGACATGGATGAGGAGTTGGCGCCGCCGCCGGACCTGCCTGTGCCGCGAGGTGTGTATGCGTTCGTACACGTCCCCCCCGCAACCGTATGAGCTCTCTCTGGGAAAGGGGGGTGAGAGGTGGGGAATGGGGCGTGGGGGGCATTGGAGGAGGAGGCGCCCCCCCCGGAGCAGTACCTCGCATCAGGTGGGGTCTGGGTGTCAGCCTCATTCAGCCGGGTGATCCCGCACTCAGTCACTCTCCTCTCTACTCCTTAACCATCATCATCAACAGCAGCACTAGCAGTAGCACTAGCAGTAGCACTAGCAGTAGCAGTAGCAGTAGCAGTAGCAGCGTCTGATTCCCCGTCTCCTCCTCCAGTTCTCCCTGCCTTCACCACCGCCACCACAACATCATCACCACCACCGTGCACCTCCACCTTTCTTTCCATTCCCATGGGCTAACCCCCCTTTTTGAACTTTGTTCCCTCCGAACCTTCTGTCCGATGCACCTCTCGTACTGATGTCCTCTTTTTCCCCTCGGGGGGGGGGGACCGGGGGGGGGGGACCGGGGCGGTGTGTGTGTGTGTGTGTGTTACAGGCGAGACGGCTGGCGCTACTCTTATCCTGGAGGGGGTGACCGTGCAAGCGGGAGACCGAGATCTACTCAGTGTGGGTGGGGATCGGGTGGGGAGGGGGTGGGGGAATTAACCGTGTGGAGAGTGGAGTGTGTGTGTTTGGCTGGTAAGGCTGTTGGGGCTGTTGGATGTGGGGGGGGGGCAGGAAGCTAGTGTAGGGGAGGGGGGAGGGGGGGGGAGGGGGGGGGAGGGAGGGAGGCATGGGGTCACTGTGTGTGTGTGTGTACGACGGGAAGTGGTGGGAAAGTGAGCCGAACAAGCGGCGGTTGTGGGGGGGGCGCCCGAGAGGCAGAGGCGGGAAACCACCGGAGGATTGCCGTACGACGACGGCGACGACGATGACGACATGGTTGGCGCAACGAAGCTTTCAGATGGTGCTCCCGTACAGTAGTAGCGATGAGCTACCTCGCCCACCCGCCGCTCGCCGTCTCCCCCCAGCGCACACCGCCATCGTCCTCCGATGGTAACGTTACCATCTAAAACACACAATTTCGCGACCAGCAACCTGCGTGTGCGTGTGTGTGCGTGTGTGTACATACACATACACATACACACACACGTCTAGATATGGCAACATCCCCCCCACACACACATACACATACACAGGACGTGTCGTGGCGGCTGATGCCAGGTCAGCGAGCTGGGTTAGTTGGGGCTAACGGTTGCGGCAAGAGTACGCTGCTGCGCTGCCTGGCCGGGCTGAGACATGTGGACGCGGGAATGGCGCGAATTTCACATACCGTACAGGTACGGCAGTACGATAACGAGCACAATATTTGTCGCTCGATAGGTGACTGAGAATTGCATACAAAAGCTGCGCGATTCTTTATCTTTATCAATTCACCGAAAGAATCAATTCACGTAAATCTGTGCGCGAAAATAGCTTCCCGCGGGCCATAGCTTTGGCTTCCCAGTCGGGGCCCCCGGCCTCAAAGCGCATTCTCAACTCACCATCACAAATCCACCACACCAACAGCCACAACCACGTTAGCAACAATGAAACATACATACATTACCGCTCAGCTCACCGCCACACACTCGGCCACACGCCAGCAGCCCATACATGCGAACTGCTGCTCCGGCAAAACAATCGCATCCTGCACTGGGGCCGTTTTTGGCCCACTCTTGGCCCTTTTTGCCTTCGAAGAAGCTGATTAACCCAACTATATTTCTTATATGGTAGTACGACAGCGCGCGCCACGTCACGGGGGAACGACGATGAGAACATCATATATGATTGCATCCACATCCAACCAAGCAACCTGTCGGATCCCGAGGGGTATGGTTGCGGTACTCCTTGGTCGTATTTGCCGTACGTTCGTACTTCCGTACTTCCGTACGTCCACAGGTGGGGTACCTGGAGCAGACTGCGGTGGGCGGCAGTCGTCGTACAGTTTGGCAGGAGGCCCGCAGTCGCATGAGCGGGTTAGTGGCTGCGGAGCGGGACATGCAGCGGGCCGAGCGGGAGCTGGCGGCGGGTGAGGAAGCGGGGGGGTCTTAGGGTTGATTGTGTGTGTGTAGGGGGGGGGAGAGAGGTCCAGGTAATTGTCGGGGCAGTGCCTTTTAGCTGTTTACCCGCTTCCACCTCCACTTCCACTTCCACTTCCGCTTCTTCGTAGTTCTCTGTCTAACGAAGGAGCCAACAGCCCCCACCCCGGGGCGCAAAACCCCCGCACGCGCTCCACTCGGCCACGCCCACACATACCACCA